TGCAATGCCACAGCACTCTACCAAGGGCAACATAGTGAGACTTTGTTTCAAAAAAAAAAGAAACAAAGAAAAAGAAAAAGAATGATAATGACCATTATTGGATGGATGGGGGAGAAGGCTAAAAGGCTAGCAGACAGGAGCATATGATCCAGAGAGATTCAACTACATTGGCAATAGCTTAGTTCTCAGGAGTAGGTGTACCTTTTTTGGTTATTGTTCTCCCTCTTTTGCCTGGGCCAGAGTGCCATGGCATCATCACAGGTCACTAGAGCTGCTTCAGCCTCTCAAGTAGCTGTGATGCCAGGTGCAGACCACCACACTCAAGTACTTTTTAAAACATTTTTTGTAGAGATAGGGTCTTGACATTACCCAGGCTGGTCTGGAACTCCTGGCCTCAAGACATGCTCCTGACTCCCAAAGTGCTAGGATTATAGGTGTGAGCCAGTGTGTCCAGCTGGATATATCTTTTTAAATGTCTTAAACATTTTGGCCAGGCATGGTGACTCACACCTATAATCCTAACACTCTGGGAGGCTGAGGCAGGTGGGTTGCTCGTAATCGAGTTCGAGACCACCCTAAGGAACAGTGAGACACTGTCTCCACCAAAAATAGAAAAATTAGCCAGTCATCATTGATGGTACCTGTAGCCCCAGCTACTTGGGAGGCTGAGGCAAGAGGGTCACCTGAGCCCAGCAGTTTGAGCTTGCTGTGAACTATGATACCACAGCTCTACCCAGGATGATAGAGCTGGGTCTCAAAAATAAATAAATTAATTAAAAAGATGGGGGTGGGACCTGTAGCTCAGTGGTTAGGGCACTGGCCCCATATACCAAGAGTGGCGGGTTTGAACCTGGCTCTGGCCAGCTAAAATAGCAGATGCAACAACAACAAAAAATAAAATAAAATAAAGTAAAGATGGTTTCTTTTAAAAAAAAAAAAAGGGTTAAACATTTCACATCTTTTTTTCCATAGTTGCCCTATCTGAAATGAAAATGCACTAACTTTATTCAGGGAAAATGTCAAGGAATAAAACAGTCTCCTAGAAATTGTTTCAGAAAGCCTTTTCTTAGACATTATCTAAATATTAAAGAACAGTCTTCTATGTTTGATGCAAATATTTCAAATTGTATATAAAACCAGCACATTGTACCCCCATGATTGCATGAATGTAGACAGCTATGATTTAATAATAAAAAATAAAAAAGAGTCTTAACAGTTTTCTTATATGAGCCAGGTGTGGTGGCACACATCTGTAGTCCCAGCTAGTAGGAAGAAAGGCTGAGGTGGGAAAAGCACTGCAGCCCAGGAGTTGGAGGCTGCACTGCCCTAGCATCCAACCTGTGCACAGCCACTGCACTCAAGCCTGCGCGCCAGAGCAAGACGATGTCTCTAAAAAAAAAAAAATTTTTCTATATGATTTATACTAAAAAATACTTCTATCATTATAGTTTGCCTATTCTTGCCCTTAAAAATTTAAGAAAGCGGCTCGGCGCCTATAGCTCAACCGGCTAAGGCGCCAGCCATGTACACCTAGGGTGGCGGGTTCGAATCCCCAGCCCGGACCCGCCAAACAACAATGACGGCTGCAACCAAAAAATAGCCAGGCGTTGTGGCGGGTGCCTGTGGTCCCAGCTACTTGGGAGGCGGAGGCAGGAGACTCGCTTGAGCCCAGGAGTTGGAGGTTGCTGTGAGCTGTAATGCCATGGCACTCTACCCAGGGAGACAGCTTGAGGCTCTGTCTCAAAAAAAAAAAAAAAAAAAAAAAAATTTAAGAAAGCTTAGAATATTTTCATTCAAAAATACTAGAAAACACATATAGTAATGCAGTTAGACTTTCATATCTGTACATTCCACATCTGGAGATTCAACCAACCTCAAACTGAAATATTGGAGGGGAGGAAGTTAGAAAATGTTACATTGTTGCTGACAATGTTGCTCCTGCTTACTCAAGCTGGTCTGGAATTCCTGAGCTCAAGCAACCCACTTGCTTCCACTTCCCTGAGTGTTAGGATTAGAGGTGTAAGCGGCTACACCTGGCCAATGGTTAGGCTGCTAACCACAGCTGCATCTGTACTGAACATACACAGACATTTTCATGTCATTATGCCATAAATGATGTAGTATAATAACTATTTACATATCATTTACATGTATTACATGTGTAAATGTATTACACATTCTAGAGATGATTTAATGTAAACAGATGTGCACAGGTAATGTACAAATACTACCACATTGTATATAAGGGACCAGAGCAGGCTTGGATTTTAGTTTTGGAGCGAGCAGGGTTCCTGGAACCATCTCATAGAGGATACC